TCCCCGCCCCGCCAAAGGTATTTACTTGAGGCCAGCGCCGGCCGGGAGCCCCCTGACAACGGCCCGGCTGCGTTTCCTCCAGTGCTCGCTCCAGCCCCACCTACGCAACGAAGCTGGACGGGGAGCTTGGAGCGGGTCCCTGTCCCTTGCGAGGGTTTGGCAGCCTTGGGCCTCGCTCTCGAGGATTTGGTATTTCGCAAGCGGTCTTCGATGATTTCATTCAAGCAGCTTTACTAACGGCCCACAACCCGAAGGCGGGACAGAACTGAGGAAGATTTCGCCCATTTTGTTTTCATTTTTGTAGTTTTTCAATTAAAAAAAAGAAAGACAAACCTGGCTTTCCCTCCTTCCAAAGCAGATCACAATGCATTATTTTAACAACGTTGGATTATGGGCATGTTCAAACATACAGGAAGTTGAAAGAATTTTGCAGTGAATATTTTACCTTTAACTTTTTAACTTTTAATTTTCTATCATTAACATTTTACTATACTTTATCATACTACACTTCTATCCATCAGTCCTTAGTTTTTGATACGTTTCCAAGTTTCCAAGTGAGTCATATGGCGTTATTTTTAAACAAGACCTCCATCATATTCATGATGACAATTCTGTTGAGCGCTATGTGCCCAGTACGGTTCTAAGCATGTTGCAAGCTTTATAACGTGGAATCTTCCAAAACAATGCTGTAATTATACCCATTTCACGGGAAGCAGGGGCTTGGAGATAGGGGTTAAATCACTTGGCCAAGTGGCGGAGTTAATAGGCAGCCCTATGCGTAGGTGGCTTGTATTTATTCTCCATCTTTGCTTCTGACATTGTGAATCAAGGACTATTTTGATCAGACTTTCCAGGAAACCTCATAAAGACACAGGTTCCCGAACTAAAGTTAGCACTGGACTCTGCTCCTCCCTCATCTGTCTGAGCTGGTGCTTCAGCAAGACAGATAAAACTTGGGTGATTGAGGGGATGGGGTTAACATCACCTTTTGTCATCCTGCTTTCTTTACCATACCTGCGTGCATTTCAGGGTGCTCCAGTGAGCTTTAGTGAAAGAAAAGATGGATTGTGGAGTCAGGGAGACCCTAGTTTTAATCTGACTGCTTCAGATCTCAGCTTGGTCACAGAGGTGGTGGGGGAGGCAATGACCTCAGTTTTCATAGCTCAATTTGCTCATCCATAATAAAGGGATATTAAAATCTACTTGCAGAGGACTAATGTGGGTATTCAAGGAGATAACATGTGTCAAAGATCTTGGTCCACAATGGATTTCTAGAAAAGGTTATTCCTTTCTGCCTGTGTTGGATTCCTTCCTATTTCTTTTGCAGTTCTGCTTAGTTTGGGAGTCCCTGTGACTTCTTAAGATCTTTCCCTTTACCCCAATTCCAGTTTTGGTCTCAGCATCTCCAATTCTTGTGCTGCTTGAACCTTCCAGTTCCCTCACTTCATAACCCCTCAGGGGCTTTCCTCCATCACTTCTCTACCACACACACCCACGATAGATCGATGGTATTCAGATCGTTAACCAGAAACAACAAGGTCAGATTCACACATTCCACTCTTTCATTGAGGAGGATATTTACATAACAAAACAACCTATGCGTTTTAAATAATCTCTTTTATTCCTCTTACCCTAACTCTCCACCTCAGCTAACCAGCACACAATCAAATATCTACAAGGGTCAGGGAAGTGCCTTAAATAAGGAAATGTGCTGGGGGAACTTATCTCAAGGGGCAGTTACTAGTCAACTCCAGCTGATTACTGCTCCCACTGTGGCCAGATCTTCCTGTTTTTAAAGAGAAGTCTAAACTCTGGTTTCTTTTTTTTAATGGGAAACATTCTTCCTTCTCCTTCTTCTTCAAGATTGTCTCAGCTATATTTGGATCCTCCGTATAAATTTTAGAATCAGCCTGCTGAGTTCCAGGAAACCACTTTTGGGGATTTTAATTAGACTTGCATTGCATTTATACAGCATTGCCATATTATAATAATGAGTCTCCCCACTTATGACCCTAGCATTAAAAGGCTAGTTAGGAGCCTGTGGAGGAGGTATGATTTGATATGAACTTTGAAAGGAGAAGCAGGTTTTGGAGACCTAGACATTACCACTTTTTTTGTGGGGGATATGGGAGGCAATTAAATTTATTTCTTTACTTATTTTTGGAGGAGATTCTGGGGACTGAACCTAGGACCTTGTGTATAAGCGCTCTACCACTTGAGCTACACCCTCCCCCCTGGAATGCACTTTTAAATCTATGCTCTATCTGGCAAATGTGGGGTGTGGAGAGAGAACTGGAGTAGGGCAAGGATGGCAGCAGGGACTATAGTCCAGGGGTGAGAGGAAAGTGGGGTGTATGTTTGTACTGGTGGTGGTAGTGATAAGTCGTCTGATTCCAGACATACTTTGAAGGTATTGCTGACAGATTTGGAGGTGGGATGTGAGATGAGTCAAAAGATGAGTTAATGGTCACTCCAGGAAGAGAGTTGCCATTATGAGTTAGGAGAAAATGTTTCTGGGGAAAGGTCGAGTGTCAGAGTTGCCTATTAGGTGCCCAGGTGGAGATGTTGAGTAGGCAGCCAGTTGTATGTGGCTGGAATTCAGTGGAAAGGCTGGAGATGTGACTCTGGGAGGCACCTGGGTAGAGGTGGCATCTAAAGTCACAAGACTGCAAGGGAGCATGAGTGGACTGATAAAAGTATGGATAGAGACACAGAGAGGGCTGGGTCTCAGTCCTAGGGCAACCCAGGAATAAAGGGAGACCAGGAGGAACCAGTAAAGGAAAAGCGAAGGAGGTAGAAAGCCATCCAAGAGAGTGGTTTCCTGGACACCACGTTTAGAAAGTTTGTCAAGAAAGGAGTGATTTGTTATGTCAAATGCTGCAGACAGATCAAGAAAGATGAACGCTGAGAGGTGACCACGGGGTCTAGCAAAGTGGAGGCCACTGGCAGCCCTGACAAGGGCAGTTTAGGTGGCGAGGTGGAGAGTGAAATCCTGGTTGGAGAGGTGGAAAGGAATGGGAAACAAACCTTTCTAGAAGTTTTGCTGTGAAGTGAAATAGAAATGAGAGGGTAGCTGGATGGGAACTGGTAACTTTAAAAAATAGAACAAATTAAAATATGTTGCTAAAGCGTTGAGGATAATACAGAGAAGAGGATGATGGAGAAGTGGGGAGAATTGTTGGGGGGATATTTTAGAGAATATGCGAGAGGCCAGGATTCAGTGCACAACTGTAGGACTCGGTGTCAGTAGGTAGTTTATACATAGTTACAGGAGGGAGGTGTGTAGGTGGGTAAATGAAATGATGTGAACTTGTGAGTTTACTGAGCTCCACGATTTTCCTAGTGAAATAGGAAGCAACGTTATCAGGCAAGAGTAACGATGGAGAAGGAAATGATGGTGGTTTGATGAGAGGAGAAATATGGCATAATTCTTCAGCATGACAGGCGGGGCCAGCCGAGGGGAATTTGAAACCGCGTTGAAAAGAACGCGGAGACTGCTACATTTTGTCTTGCGTTGTTAGTCCCTCAAGGCGCTCAGTAGTCTGCGTCCGTTTCCTTGGAGACGGAGACGGGAGAGGGAGCGTCAGGTCTCCCTGGAATGTTTGAGTGGCCCTGGTTGCCGCGCGACCCACGTTGAGACAAGAAAGTTGGAGAAGCCGAGTAAATAGACATCCCCAAAGATCAAGGCCCCAAGGATTGAGGACTCTTCTTCCATTTTCCTCAATGGCGCGCGTCTTCCCAAAGTAGGTGAAAGGAGTAGCGCGGGCTGATGGCGTGCGCATGCGTGTCCCCAACCTTGCCCCGGCTGGTCCTCGCCAGGTGGCCTCCCGCGGTCTTGGCCCCGCCCTCTCCCTGCCCATTTCTCTCTAGACTGCTTTTTCCTCGCGCTCTCCCGCTCCGGGTGGGCTTGTGTCCATAGTCACTGCGCTTTCGGGTTCGGGACCCATTGCCTGTTTTCGCTGCAAACGTTTGCCGCTTGCAGCCCCATGGGCTGGGAATGATGGGAGTTCTTTCCAACTCTTTCCAGACCGAGCCACGCTGGGATTTACTCCACAGCCCACCAGTTCCAGGTTCTGGTAAGTCCAGGAGGGCTAGGGCAGGTGTGGGGGGCTCGCTGACCCTGGGCTTGCAGTCCGCCTGCCCTCAACCCCCACGGCGGTGACTGTCCCGGGCGATAGAATCCAGAGACCTGAATTCCAGGCCAGGCTCTGTCACACATTTGCTGTGGGACCCGGAGTGTGCCTCTGACCTCACGTTTCTCACCACCTTATCAGATGTAAGGGTATATTCTGTTGCTCTCTTATTTATCTCTGATTGCTATTCTGCTTTCCTATTGGGTCTTTTCCATGCCTCCTGTTTCTCACAGTTCTTTGTACCTCCTAGCCTGGATGTGCTTTGTAAATTCTGGCTGGTTGATAAAAAAGTGATAGCTAACATTTATGGAGCACTTACCACATACTTCACAAATGTCTTCTCTTGGAATTTTCATACTAACCTATGGAGGTAGGTTTTATAATTAGGTCCAGTTTACAGATGAGAAAATTGAGGCTCAGAGAGATAAAACCACCTAGTCAAAGTTACAGATATCTATAAGGGGTGAAGCTGGGATCTGAACCCACCAGGCTGTGTGACTGATTGTGTTATGTCTGGTAGGATTATGTTCCACGGCAGCGGTCCAAGCAGAAAGCCAAGCCATCTACTCTGCCTCCAATCCTACAAACGGTTGACACTAAGAAAAGCAAAATGAAGACTTTGCCAACCATCCAGCCAGGTGGGCAGAAGCACTTGGGCGCTGGAGTGGGAGTTGGGGACAGGATAGAGTGGATGCTCATGGCCCTTGGTGGAAACATTTATATCAGGGTAGGCCAACTACTACAGCAAGCAATCCCAGATTTCAAGTATTAATACAGAAGCTTATTTCTCATCTATGTCAAAGTACTTTTGTGGATCTTGCAGGGAGGAGGTAATCTTTCTCACAGATGACATGACTGTCTCTGTAGAAAAGCTTAAGGAATCTACTAAATCTAAAAGAAAGTAGAAGTAATAAGTGAGTTTATCAAGGTTAATGGATACAAGCATAACACACAAAAATCAATCACATTTCTATATGCTAACAATAAATATGTGGAAACCAAAATTAAAAACACATTTACAGTCACTTCAAAGAAAATGAAATACTTAGGCATTAACTTTAAAAAACATGTACAGGATCTGTACACTGAAATTTATATAATGCTGATATAAGAAATCAAAGAAGACCTGAATCCATGGAGAAACTGTACTATGTTCATGGATTGAAAGACTCAACATAGTAAAGGTGTCAGTTCTCAAACTGATCCATGTTTTTAATGCAACTCCTATCAAAATCCCAGCAAGGTTTTTTTTGTAGACATGGACAGGTTTATTCTAAAATTCATATAGAAAAGCAAGGCCCTAGAATAGATGACAACTTAAAAAGAAGAATAACATGGGAAGAATCATCTTACCTGATACTAATGTGTACCATATAGTTATAGTAATCAAGACAGCATAGTATTGGCAGAGGGATTGGCACATAGATCAATGGAACAGAACAGAGAAACCAGAAATACAGCCACACAAACATACCCAGGTGATTTTGACACAGGTGCAGAAACAATTGAGTTGAGGAAAGAAAGCCTCTTCCACAAGTGGTACTGGAGCAAGTGGACATCCATAGGTGAAAAAAAGAATGTCAGTTTAAGTCACATAACTTACACAAAAATTGACTCAAAATGTGGATTTAAACTGAAATCAAAATCAAATGTAAAACAGTAAAACTTACAGAAAAAACATAGGTGAGAAAAATCTTTGGGACTGGTGGCCAGCTGAAGAGTTCACACCAGCAGCTGGATCTGTAAAAGAAAAATGAAATAAATGGATAACTTGGACTTCATCAAAATTTAAGACTTTTGTTCTGTGAAAGACTGTTAAAAGTATGAAAGGGCAAGCTACAGACATGGAGAAAATATTTGCAAACCATATCTGACAGAGGACTGCTTTGTAGAATATACTGGGAACCCTCAAAACTCAACAGAAAAACAATTCACTTAGAAAATGGGCAAAAGACACGAAGAGACACTTGACTGAAGAGGAAGTACAGGTGCTAAATAAGCACGTGAGAAGGTGTTCAACATCATTATCCATTAGGGTGATGCAAGTTAAACCACAATGAGTGTCACTGCACACCTATCAGAATGGCTAAAATGGAAAATAGTAGTAACACCAAATGTTGGCGAAGAGGAGGAGAAACTGGGTCCTGCATACACTGCTTAGGGGAATGTGAAATGCTGTAGCCCCGCTGGAAAAGAATATGACCATTTCTAATGAAACTAAACACACATTTCCTATAACAACCCAACAGTTGCACTCTTGGGCATTTATTCCAGAGAAGTGAAAACTTACGGTCACTTCAGAACCAGTGCATGAATGTTTCATAGCAGCCTTGTTCATTATACCCCCAAACTGGAAACAAGCCATATGTCCTTTAACAGGTGAGTGAGTTAAACAGACAATGGTACATCTGTTCCATCCTGTGCAATCCCATTCAGCAATAAAAAAGAAATAACTTTCGATATGTTCAATGACTTGGATGAATCTCCAGAGATGCTGAGTGAAAAAAGTCAATCTCAGAAGTTACATACTGTATGATTCCATTTGCATACCGTTCTGGGAATGACGGAATTGTAGAAATGGAGAATTAGTGATTGTCAGAGATTAGGGACAGAGGTTGGGGGAGGATGGTAGGGGGAGGGAGTGACAATAAAAGACAACAGAAGCAATCCTTGTGGTTGTGGAGATGTCCTCTATCTTGCCCATCTTAACATCAGTGTCCTGGTTGTGATATTGTACTTCGTTTTCCAAGATGCCACCACTGGGAGAAACTGAATTAAGGGAACATAGGATTTTTTCTGTATTATTTCTTGAAACTGCATGTAACCTGAACTTATCTCAAAATAAAAAGTTTAATTAAAAAAAAAGATAAACCAGGGCTACCACCACTAATGAAAAGAAATACTCATTATTAAAGCTACAAATCTTCCTAAGTATTTAAGTTCAATTTACAAATCTTATAATTTTATAAACACTTGTAAAGAGGGTTTTGGAATGTGGTTAATTAAATTCCCCTAAATTGTTTAAGCCACGTTTAAAAATTTAATATATTCATTTTCATTTTCACATATTTCACTTGTTCTAATTAACAAAACCATTGAGTATTTAAGTAATTCTTTGTATATCTAATAAATATACATCTAAATATGGGTAATCTTATGTTCTCTTAAAAGTTTTGGTAATTTATACACATTTAATAAGGGTGTTTAAACCTTCCAGCTTCAAACAAATCTAAATCAAAATCTCACTGACACATTTTAAATTAGAATCGTAAAATTAATCTATTTTTGGGGGGGAATAAGATTATTTATTTATTCATTTTTAATGGAAGTACTGGGGATTGAATACAGGACCTTGTGCATGCTGGGTACACACCCTGCCACTGAGCTATACCCTTCTCCCACAAATTAATCTATTAATCACTCCATCTCTCAAGCAATACCATTCAATGCCAGATATGTACAGACAATTCATAATTTTAATACAAAATTATTAAAATTTACTTCATCATTTAAATTCATAATACAAACATTTTCCAGGGTTAAGGGAATTGATCTATAAAGGAAATAGTATTTTTCAGAAATGAACTGGCTTGCACCTCCAACAGGGATTTTGGTGGGGGCTGAGAAGGCAGTGGCAGCCCTTGTGATGCTTTGGGGGATTTATCTCATGCTGGTGCCGGACATGCCGAGAGAAGCAGGGATTCTAAGAACGTGCCCTCCAAATGCCTTATTCTGATCTGAATTATCTTTGTATACTTCGTATCTGGCAGGACCACAGCTTTTACACATATTTCAGGGACAGCGAGTTGGCATGTTGCATAGCTCCTGGGCCTTTATCTGATGCTGTGGTCCTGATCCCAATTCTCAGGTCATTAGTAGTAACAGTGACGACAGTAATTTATATTTAGCACTGGATATGTGTTAGGTACTATTCCAAACACTTAAAGCCTAGTAACTTCTTATTTAATCTTCACGACCACCCTCTGAAGTAGGGATGATGATTATTCCTATACAGACGGAGAAGCTGAGGGACAGAAGGTCATGTGATCTGCCCAAGGCCACATAGCTAGGAGACTGCAGAACCCAGATTCAAACCCAGGCTTTCTGGCTCATTAGTTATTGCTCTTAAACCCTGCACCTTCTGACCTTGCCACTGGCCAGCTTGATGGGACAGATTGGGGGTGTCTGTTGTACCCCTCTCCTCCCCTCTGTTCATACCCACAGACACTGTGGTACATGAAAGTCCTGTGGCTTCTCCATCCCTTATAACCAGGCCCACAGTGGGGCTGGGGAGCTTATGGATGGATGTGAGTTTCGTCCTGTCTGACTGTCATGCATTATAAGGCTGGGAGTGGATGGGGCTGGGACCAGGCCATCTGTCATGGCTGGTGCATTTCCTGGGACCTGATCCCAGACCTGCTCTACCCTCACTCTCTCTCTGCCCTTTCCCATGCCCTAGGCTTGCAGTCCAAGCCCACCTTGTGGATGACAAGCCAGCTGAGGACTCCACTAGGACCGTGCAGAGGGAAGTTGGACCCTGGGAAGACACAGACCAAAATCCAGCTACTTAGAGTATGGGGACCATCCTCCCACAGGCAATAGGGCCTGGTGGCAGGCAGCTGGGGAGTTGGGGGGGATGTGATAACAAACATGCACTGAGCTGCTCATGGGTGCCCGACTTGACTCTTTTTTTTTAAATTATTATTATTTTTAAATGGAGGTACTGGGGATTGAACTCTGCCACTGAGCTATACTCCTCCCCCTGACTTGACTCTTTTTTTCCTCACAGCAACTCCGTGGGCATGCCTTGCATCATCCCTATTTTACAGATGGGGAAACCAAGGTGCAGGGAGCTAAATGACTTGCACCAGATCACACAGCTAGAAAATGCAGTACCAGGGGTCATAGCCAGTTAACCGAAGTGTTGGCTGTTGTGTTTAAGACTCAGGAAAACGATCAGAATCACTTCTGATCGTATTGCATGAGGTGCACAGTCCTGGTGGCTTGTTCATTTAAAAAATTTCCAGGAAATTAACCTTTCATGGAATACAGTTCACCTTGAAGCAAGGCTTAGGAGCTTCCTGTTCAATTTGTGACAGTGACTGATAGAACTTTTGATAATTGATTTTTCTCAACATTCATTGTTTTTAATGGCTTCTGAACATTGTTTGGAAGTATTTGAAAAGAAGAGGGGTCTTTAGTGTCCATAGCAGAAAGTAAAATAATAAAAACAATAAATACTACAAAATACTATAGAAGAATTCTTTTTTAAAAATTTATTGTAGTATAGTCAACTTACACTATTGTGTCAATTCCTGGTGTACAGCATGTTTGTCATACATATATATACATATATTCTATGGAAGAATTCTTCTGCAAGAAAGTTTTTTTTTAATTTTTTTGTGGGGGAGGTAATTTGTCTTTTATTTATGTACTTATTTATTTTTAATGGAGGTACTGGGGATTGAACCCAGGACCTTGTTGCTAGGCACGAACTCTACCACTGAGCTATGCCCTCCCCTCAAGCAAGTTTTTAATAGCTCAATGAACAATGATTACTATATAAAGAACTAGGAAAAAATGTATTTGCTTTGAAACCTTTTTTCCCGTTTAAGCTTCAATTTTTCAAAAATGGTTTAGAGGCAGCTCAGCCTTCTTAAAGGAGTAACTCAAATTTCCAATGTTATTTTTATCCTGAGTTTAGCCAGGTTGATGTGTTTTTATTTGATACACAGTGTGAACTTGGACAATTGACTCTAAAACCTGTGCTCCTAACCAGTTCCTAACACTGTCTCTTGTAATCATTCATTTGCTGAGTCAACAAATATTTATTGAGCACCTACTATGTGCCAGGCCCTGTTCTGAGTGTGAGGATTCACCTGCAATGTGACCTGTGACCTTGGGGAGCTCACATTCTGTTGTGGGGGACAGACAATAAACAAGGCGAATAAAAATATAATATGTGTAGTGAGGATAAGAGCTATGAAGCAGTAGAAGGGTTAAGGTTAGGGAACTAGGGAGGTACAGAGGAGGGAGTAACTATGACTTTTAGGAGAGTGATCAAGGGAGGCCACTAAGGTGGGGACATCTGAGGGAGGAGTGGTATAGGCAGAGGAACTGGAAATGCAAAGGCCCTGAGGTTGGGAAAGTCAGTGTGGTGGAGCTGATGATGAGGAGGAGAGATAGTGGGTTGTGGCGGGAAAGGGTTACCTTGTATACAGCCCTGTAGTCTGTGATGTGGCTTTGTGTTTTTATACTGAGTAAGGCAGGAAGACCCTGGAGGGTTCTGAGTAGAGCAGGGCTGTGATCTGACTTAGGTTTTCATGGGAGTCTTGGCTGCTGCTCAGGCCAGACTGGACTGCGGGAATGAGGGGGAGACAGAGCAAGGAAGTAGAAACTACCCAGCTGGTTTGTCCTCTTGGAGATGGAGTAGAATCCTGACTCTGCCCCTCAGCCTCAGGTCAGTTATTTAGTCGATCAACAACTCCTGAGAGCGTACCCACGATGTCCAAGGCACTGTGCTGGATGCTGGGGACACGGCCATGAACATGGCATTCAGAATCTGTGCTGTGATGGAGCTTATTCTTTAGTGGGGAGACACATAACCAATGAATTTTAAAAACTCCAAAGAATAGTTACCCAGCAGTTTATACAGCCCATACTTATGGAGCTCCAGGCACTGTCCTGTGTGCTGGAGATGCAGCTGTGACCAAACAGCCAACGCCCAGAGAATTTCAGAGCCCTCCTGGCTGTGAAATTCGAGTTCAGGGACAGATAAGAAACAAGGTAATAAGAAAACAGGTTATGTTGGGTCGTGATAAGTTCTAGGAGAAAAAGAAATTGGGAAAGGGGGAGACAATTTCAAACTGTAATTCTGTAATTACAAATTGGGGTAAGGGTTAGGGGGGACACAAAGCAGGCTTCTACACTAGATTCTAGGAGTCAGGGAAGAGCCATTTCTCCAGCCGAGGTCTACACTTTATCAGAATCACCTATGAGTAGGGCTCATTGGGCCCAAGGCTTGGAGACTGGTGTTTTTCACAAGATGCTTCTGTTCCCAGTGGGCCATATTTGGAGATATTTTGGTCTGGAGATGTGAAGGCAAGACAGTGGAGTGGCCAGGAGCCCAGACTTCCAGGACAACAGCCGTGCTATGTGTGACCTTGGAAAGGTCCCAAATCTCTCTGACCCTCAAGTTCCACCTCTCTAAAGTGGGGCTAATGGTAGCTCCAAATGAGGGTGCGCGTGCTAAGTGCTTAGCACAGTTTCCAGCTCATAAGTCCTCCGTGCGTTCACCCTCTTACTCTCATTATTGTGTGAGGAATATGGGAGCTGAGGGCTAGGAAGGGGTAGTTTCTAGCAAAGGACAGACAAGTGAGGAAGAACGGAAGGAATAAAGAAGAATGGTGACAGGTGACTGCATGTGTGCTGGGTGTGCGAGGCACTGCCACTAAGCGGCTTGATCGTGAACCTAACCTCATTTATTTTTTATGGCAGCTCTCTGAAGTGAGTTTTGGTTTCCTAACCTACAGAATGAGGATAATGGGGTTCTGGGAGGTGAACTAACTTGCCCAGGTTCCCTTAGCTAGCTGGTTAAGTGGCAGAGCTGGGATTTGAAGCAAGGTGTGTAGAGGTCTAAAGTCCAAGTCTTGATCATGGTGAGGTCCGGCCACGCCTTATAGCCGTAGGCCCACTCAATTCCTTGTCTTAGTGTAGCAGAAAGACAGGCAATGGGAGTCAGCAGTCTGCCTTTTGAATTTCAGTGCCACTGCTTTCTGGCTGTGTGACTTCAGGGCAGTCATCTAACCTAGCTGAACTTCCCCTTGTTAGTACAACAGAGTTTGTTAGCAAAGGGTTGTTGGAGGGTGAACTGCTACTGTGTGCCATGGGCTGAGTGAGGCCACTCTCAACCATTGTTACTGTTACTGTAGGTTATGTGTACCTGCTGAGGGTGACCTTGGGCAAGTCACTTAATCCCTTAGATGCTTATCCCCAGGGGTGTTGTATGAAATGCAAGTCCTCCCTCAGCTCAGCTGCCTGATGAAAAATGGTAGTGATTATCATCCATTCTGCCTCTCCTGCTTCTTCTCCAGACATGGCTCGTCTCCTGGGCCACCTTCTTTTCCCACTTGGGCATTTTCTATAACTGTTACCACTGCTATATTTCATGGATTATAAGAAGCCATAGACAATAAGGCACACCTTTATCTTAATTACCCGCTAATGAAATATTTATCGATTACATTGTGACACTTACCAACTGTAAGACATATCCCCATTGTAGAGATGTAAAATTATGGGGAAATGGGCGTTTCAGAATGGATGAAATTGTTAAAGGTGCTCTGACCTGCAGACAATGGGGAACCGCCGCCCAGCTTGGGTGGCATTTCCTAGTTGAGGCCACAAGGGTGCGGATGTCCGTCGGGAGGGAACTGGTTCCTAGTCTCCGGGAGGCTCCTGCCTGCCCCGCGCGGCACAGCCTCCCTTCTCTGTCCTTCTGCCCGCAGACGATGCTCAGGAACCGGCGAATCTCACACCAGGAGCTCTGCAACCACGAAGACTTCCTCTCCAAGCTCACTGTGGAGCTGATGAAGGCCATCCAGGACATGGAGGAGAGCTCGGCCATGAAAGTGCGGGTGATGCTGCAGCAGCAGGACGTTTTCTCGGTGAGACCCTCCATCGTGGCCCGGCAGCCCCGCCTCTGCCCTCTGCGCCGCCGCCCTCCTGAGCGCTCGGGCGCCCTCTTCTGCCTTCTCCCCGCCTCTCCCGGCCTGTAGCACAAGCTGCTTCCTGCTTCCTCCATCTGGAAGATAAATTTTAACACTTTGCCCCCAACCCCCGCCCCAACCTACCTGGGCTTTGGAATCAGACTGGGATGCGGGGGGGGGGGTGGGGAGCTCATCCCAACCAACACTTATTAGCTGGAAGACTTTGAGTTAACCTCTGAGCTCTGTAAAGTGGGGCACAGTAGCACCCACTCCAAAGAGGCGTTGTACTTGGCACACAGTAGGTGTGTAAGAGAAATTAGCTGCTACCACCAGCACCGTTAGCAGATACTAATACGGAGTAATACTATGTGTGTATTCACGCAACCCTTACAACAGCCGTGTGGGGTGGGCATGATTGTTATCAGAACCAAGGCAGTCTGGCACCGGGATCTGTGCTCCTTCCACAATGCTGGGATGGGAGTACCACCCTCACCCAGTGGTGGCGCTCGTGGCCTGTGGGTAAGAGTGATTTGCAGAGAGCCCAGTACCCACAGCCTTCTCTGGGAGAGGCTTGGTGAGGCTTCCATGGGAGGGCTGAAAGTTCACACGGGATCAGGGATTCTGGCTGGAGAAGAGTTAGAGAAAATGGTTTAATGGAGAAGCAGTTATCCTCTGACTGCAGTCTGCCCGGCGGGGAGAGGAGTTGAATTTACCCGGAGCCTCTGAGATGAAGAGAAATTCCGACATCTTGGGGTCTTCATTGGTTTGCTTGGGCTGCCACAACAAAATGCCACAGACCGGGTGGCTTAAATGACAGAAGCTTATTTTTTCACAGTTCTGGAGGCTGGAAGTCTAAGGTTGAGGTGCTGGCAGGGTTGGTTCTGGTGTCCTTCCTTGGGGTGCAGATGGCTTCCTTATTGCTCTGTCCCCATCTGGCCTTTCCTCTGTATGTGTGTGTGTGTTGGGGGGGGGAAGGGCAAGAGAGAGCAAGAGCCCTGGGTGCCTCATCTTCTTCTTAGAAGGACACTAGTTTCCGGAGTAGAGCCCCACCCTTTTGACCTAATTACCTCTCTAAAGGCCCTCTCTCCAAATACAGGACTGTGGGGGAAGGGATTGGGCCTTTAACACATGAATTTGGGGAGGGACACAATTCTATCTATAACAGAGACCAAGCATGTTCTCCAAACCTTGACAAAGTCATTGTCTGATTTTCCTCCATTGTTTTATGTCTTGTTCATCTGGAGTGATTCTTACGGGCCCTTGGGAAACAGGACCCAGTGAGACACCTGGTCCACATCAAGCTTTCAAGTGGGTTGACAGGCAGTTAGAAAGCCTTTTGTGTAGACTGTGATGGGGATGGGGACCTGGGGAGGTAGGAGAGGCCTTGTAACACAGACACGGAGGATCAGGAAGTGATGCTTGAGTTGAAACTTGCAAAAGTCAGTGTTGACTTGTGGAGATCAGCGCTGGTCCCAGGCAGAGGCTGGGGGTCCACGAGGCCTGTGGGGAGAGGAGCATGGCTTACTCAAGGAGCCACATGGCACTTTGTGTGGCTGGACAGTCAGGTGTGAGAAAGGGGTCAGAGAGAGGGGAGGTCAGCCCGGGCCGGGTCGGGGGGCTCCTTGTCAGCCAGAGTAAGTAATTTGGACCTTATTTACAGGGCAGAGGGGGCCCTTGGAGGGTTTTAAATAGGGGAAGGATGTGGCCGGCTGCTTGTTTTTTCAAGAAAGAGCACTCTGACTGCCATGTGGGGAAGAGGTCAGAGGAGGATGAGTTAGGAGAAGCCGTTGTGCTGCTTCAGACAGAAGGTGAAGAGAACTTGAATGAGACAGTGGCGCTGGGGGTGGAGAGAGGGGCATGGCTGCGCAGGCTGTTTGGGGAGTAAACCTGTTCTACTTGGCACGTTTTGGGTGAGAAGAGGGAGGAGGGACCAATGCCTGGTGCTTGAGTGTGTGGTGGGGCCGTCTGCTGAGGCGGGCGGCAGGAAGTGGGAGAGTTTTGGGTGCAGGGGGGGCAGCAGGTAAAGATTTTCCGACCTCTAGTCAGGTTCCTGGGCCTGGGAGTAGGGTTGGGTTTGGGGACTTCCCTGAGGAAGTGCTGAGCATGGACAGCCCATGCTCTGGCAGTGCCAGCAGAGGCCGGGGATGAGCTGACCCCCTATGCCCACAGACCATCATCAACATCTTGGAGTGCTCCAACCAGAAGAAGCTGCAGCAGATGAAGTGTGAGCTTCAGGAGTGGGAAGAGAAGGAGGAATCCAAGATACACAGTAAGAATCCCCGGGCCAGCACCTTCATGCTCCCCTGGTCCTCTTGGGAGGTCAGTGGCTGGGCATTCCGTAGGCACCTCCCTTTCGGGAACCATCAGGCCCGTCACCTCCCTTCTGAGGCAGGTGGAATTGCGAAGGTGCAGGGCTACCGGCTTACTTATCCAGCACTTAGCACTCGCAGGCCCTCCGTGCCTTGTCTCTATGGGCCTGCTCTCCATCATTACAACTACCTGTGAGACTTGGACCCTTCTCCCATTTTACAGATGAAGAAACTGAGGCTCAGGGAAGTGAAGTAGCCCATGGAAGTTTAGACAGCTAGGACCCAGAATCCAACCCCAGTGCACCTCTTTCTTGCTAAGGTCCCTCTGGGAGTCAGTGGCTGGGACAGGTCACTGGCCTCAGACCTGCTGAACCTGTGGTCTCTTTCTCCCAAGCAGACCAGAAGCCTCCTGAGGGGAGGGGCAGTGTGTCAGGCTGCCTCAGACACTGGGGATCCCCTCCATGGAGGACGGCAGGATAGACTTTGTCTTAATCCTGCCCTGGTCATGTCTCAAGAGCCAGTGTCACGCCATCTCCCTGGGCTTGTTGACTTGGGAGCATTTGTATGAGGAAACGGAGGCCCAGAGAGGGAGGGTCACGTGGTGAGTCAGTGGCAGAGCTGGGGCTGGTCTAGGGATCCTGCACTGGGATAGTTTCTTTCCTACCCAGTGTTGCCTCTTCTGCGAAGGTAAAGAGCTTAACTGTTCACCACCTCCTAGCCTTGCGTGAGCTCGCTTCAGCCCAGACCCCAGTCTGTTGGTCAAGGAGAGCTCTGCCTCTTGGGTCTCCCTGGAGCGGTCCTTGAGGGACGCTCCTGCCTTCTGTCCCTCCTGACCTTGCAGACCTGGAGCAGCAGGTGGAGCAGCTGAATGCCAAGATCAAGAAGACCCATGAGGAGCTGAGCTTCGTGAGCACTTACAAGGACCGTGAGTATCCCATCAAGTCGGTCCAGGTTGCCGACCTTGGGCACCAGCTGCATCAGATGAAGGAGAGCCAGCAGGTAGGTCGGCCCCTGGCCTGGCCTCGCCCGATCATGTGGGAGACAGGGCTGGTGCCCAACACTCCCTTGCTGACCCCCAGGATGAGCTGGAGGGCCTGAGAGAAATGTGCAGGATGGTCTTGGCGTCCATGTCCAACCAGATTCAGAAGAAGAAGAAAAAACTGCTGAAGTCTCTGGTGGTGGTGAGTAGCCAGCTACTGTGGTCGGTCCTGCTCCCAGCCCTGCTTTCTTCCTTGGCCCCTGCCTTCAGGCCCCCCGCACCCTCACCTTGGCACCCAGTGCATGGTAGAGACTGGGGGCCAGACCTCTCCTTCCTCCACAGAAAATCCAGCATGCTAACCAGGAGGCTCTCCTGTACAAGACTTGGAACAGCCAGGCCATACTGAAGTGCATGGACAAGTTCAGAGAAGTGAGTGAACATGAAGGTGGTGGTCCCCTCTGGGAGAGAACAGGAGGGTGGGGGGGTCCCCAGGACCACTGGATCAGTCTGGTTCTGATCTGGCGCCCACGAGGTCTCTAACTCTGGTGTTAGCCTTCCATCTTGGCAGTGCCATTAATGTTCCTTGTCATTCATCTGAGAGAGGGATTAGTGCTGGCCTAGGCCTTGGCTCATTCACCACCACCACTGGTCATGACCCATCAGCAGCATCACCAGGCATCACTCACATGACCATCACTACTGTCACCCCATCCCCTGTTTTCACCTCTGAATTCTTTTCATTGACCATCACTCATGACCAGTGTTAGCAAACTCCACCATCACCACCCTCTCGCCATCATTTTTATTATCTTGCACCTTCATCTGTCTTCTGGGTGAATGGCCTCTGTCATCTCCACCAGCCCCATTCATTCTGATTAGGAAGCACTGCCACCCCTTTACAACCTGTCTCTGTGCTCCACGGTCCCCTCACCCTTTCCAGCACCATCGAACACAGTCAGTAATCGTGAGCCGGCCCTGCCCTGCACGGAGGGGCCTGTCCCTGGAGTCCAGGAGTCCCAGTGCCAAAGCCCAGGACATTTCCCTTGACGTCTTTATTGCTCATCCAATTTGCACTTTTCTCCCTTTGGTTGGGGACTTCTCACCCTCCCCTGCTCTCCTCAGTTTATGGACCAGTTTGAGGAGGAAATAACCATCTTACGGGCCGAGATGGAACAGCTCCAGGCTCAGATCTGGGAACCCCGAGAGATTGTATTTGCGGACGTTCTGCTTCGGAGAGCCAAGTATGTGATCCTTTTGCAGCTGCCTCTTAAACCAGCCGGGCTCTGGGCTTGAAGAAGCTCGTTGTTCTCAGGGAAGGCAGCACCCTGTGCAGGGAAGCAGGAGACCTGGGATTGTGCCTCAGCCCTGCCACTGACCATGTGGCGGATGTGCCCTTTTCCATCTCTGGGCTGCGGGTGTCCCATCTGTGCCCAGAGGGCTGAGTTAGGAAATCTCTCTGAACCCTTCCAGTTCCCAGATTCCATGTTTCGACCAAGTGGGTGCACCCCTAAGCTCCTGGGTTGTTCAGGAAGGTGGAGCTGAGTAGGGTGGTTGGCTCCAGGGGAGAACAGTCTGGAAGACACACTGCAAGGTGAAAAAGATGTTTTCTTTGTGGGGCAGAATCCAGGGCCCCAAAGAAGAACTTCCTTCCTTCCAGAACCAGTTCTCTGCCCTCCGGGTCTGAGCTGGGGGTCCCCCCAGGCCGCGCCTCTCCAGATGGGGCAGATCCTGCCATTTGCAGATTATTTTTCTTCTTAGCTTCTGTGTCTGTCTCTTCTTCTTCCTTTCCTTCCTCCTCCGCTGCCTCCTCCTCTTCATTCTCCCCTTCTTTTCCTTAAAAAGTACTGTGTAATTTATGATGTGCCTACAGAGTCAGGCACTGTGAGTGCAAATGACCCTTGGCTCTGCCACTGTGGAGCCAAGGAGGGGACCAGACATTAACTGATAACAAGCCACAGACATGTCACGTCGCAGCTGAGCCCAGAGCCACTGAGGGAGAGGGATGGATATGGCCCTGGGAGAGCATATCTGGATGGTGAGGAGTCCAGAGCCATCAAAGAAGGTGTCCCTGAGAATGGGACATTTCTGAATTGAGGTCTGAAGATTCATAGGAGTTCACTAGGCAAAAGGGGCTTAATGGGGAACTGAAGGAATAGCATTTTGAGGCTGGTGTCTCAGGGGTGTGATAAGTAGGCAGCCAGGGTCCGTCTGAGCTCTGAACACTTTGGAATAAGACTGAAAGGGATGGGGGAGGGTCTAGCTCAGAAGTAGAGTGCGTGCTTAGTGTGCATGAGGTCCTGGGTTCAATCCCCAGTACTTCTGTTAAAATAAATAAATATAAATAAACCTAATTACCCCCCCAAAGTAATAAGGTAAAAAAATGATTTCTCCCCCAAATGAAAAGATTGAGAGAGAGAGGAGAGAGAGAGGATGTCCTGGAGCCTCATAAATGTTCATGCTGATCACTGAGATGGGAAAATAGCGCAGATGGGGACCCATTGCTCTTGCTACTTTGATGGACAGACTAACATCTGTCATTTACTGAGTCCATGTTACCTGCCAGCACCATCTCCTTTAATCCTTTTATTGAGGACAGAGGTTGAAATTACTCCCCCATTTGACAGATGAGGACACAGAGGCTGGCCTGGGGTCTGTCACATAGTGAATGCTTGTTACATAGGTGCCAGTGGGAGGAGGGAGGCTCAGAGAGGAGGAGCCGTGATTCTGACTCCAGAGAGTGCTTGTCCTGAGGGGCCCCTCGTATTTCAGAGCTGACTTCCTGCTCTCTCTTGACCTCAGACCTCTGTCAGGGAACACGGGTCCTGCTGAACCAATTCCTTTTTCATTGGTTGTGTGTGTGTGTGTGTGTGTTGGCGCTGCACGGTCACAGGTTCTGTTTTGGAATGGGGCTCCCCAGTTGAGTATATGTTCTACTTTTTTTTTTTCCCTTAACAGAGGCACTGGGGATTGAACCCAGGGCCTGGTGCACACCAAGCATGCGCTCTACCCCTGAGCTGTACCCCTCCCCACCCAGCACCAATGTTCTAAAGAGCAGGGCTCCCCTGCTTGGCTTCTCACACCCCTCTTTGCTCTTCCACACCAGGTGCACCCCGGACATGGACGTTATCCTCAACATCCCTGTGGAAGAGCCGCTGCCTTTCTAGATTCCGGGGCCTTGGGCCACCCTTTTTCCCGGTCTCTTCTCCAACCTGGAGTCTTGAGTTCTCTCCTTCCAAGACCACGCCCCCATTCAGCTCCTGGTCTGCAGTTCCTCCCTCCCTCCCTCCGTCCTTTCTTTCTGGTTGGTGCTGCTACTTGGGCGAGGTAGGAATTCCTAGTCAAGTCCTATTTACCAATAAACCTGGATTTGCATTTGTTCTCTGCCAGTGCTTGGGGGGTTCCCAGCGAGGCCTTGAGAAGCAGCGGTAGGAATGGACTTTGTCTTAAGATCAGGGGTGGGCAACTGTGCTGATGGCATCTGGGGCTCCACACTTCTCGGGAAGCGCTGGAGTGACCCCCCTGCCTGAGTCTCCTGAGTCCCCAGCCGCCCCCATCCCTGGTGCAGTGGGGCCCAGCTTTCCCTTCTGATTGGTGCCCAGACCCACTGAGGCTGGTGCTGGGATGGTGGGGAGATTCCTCGGGTTTGATCTCCCTGGGAACTTGCTGGGCCTTCATTGCTGCTGGCCATCTCTCTTCCAGTCCAGCTGTCTGCCTGTCTTTCCACAGCTTCATGGCCTCTACCCACACTGTGTGTGGACGTGAGCACAAACTCATCCTCAGGGCCTAACTGACCCCATTCCCTGCCACGTACTCTTCTGTGGGGGACTTAGAGGTGTGCCGCCTGGGCCCCCTTCACACAGGGGCTCGTGGCTTCAGTTACAGGGTCGGAGGGCCGTTGGCAGGTGTCCTCCCGTGGTCAGTCCCTTCTGGGTGTGCCTGAGCTGCGGAGAGCCACCTTCTCCAAAGCCAGGCCCCTTCCCTCCTCCAAGGACTGCTTGGCGTGCAAACCCCAGAGGCCACTCTGGCTGCAGAGGTCCCTGTGCGGTTGGCTGAAGCTGCCCC